GCTCCCACTAAACCGAAGTATCTTATATGGTTCCATTCTCATACGAGCAATATGCTCACTATAGAACTTATGTGGAAACCCTTTAATAATTAAGTGGATCCGCAATCATGGAAGCTGTACGAATATGTTCAATAACTAATTCATAATATGAAGTCAGACTGTTAAGCAAATGATGATTATTATCATCAAATGATGTACTAGATCCAACCAATTTTGAATTCTGAAAGAGACAAAACTCTATATCCGAATGAATAATAATAAATGAATTTTTTCAAAATTGAAATTGAAATTAAATTTTGACTAAAGATAGTACCATAAAAAATGTTTCATCCAAAAATAAATAGCAACGAGTACTTGCGTTAGTAGGATTACACAGCTTAGGCCTTGCCACCAAAATTATTTAAAATCATAATATCAATAAATAAATAAATATATAATCGATGCACAATGGGCATGATTGGATCCTTCTAATTCAAAATCAATTAGTTGTTTTCAATTAATGAATCACTCAACCTATTTGAGAATTAATGTCGGTGCATGTAAGAAACAATATAGATCCATTGACTTTATAACCAATTTCTTATTTACTTTTAGATCCATATCATGAACCAGGAAACTAGATACGAAAATACCGAGGAAACACACAACAACAAACAGTTTTGGCGGCGCTGCAGGCATCTCTAATCAAATTATGAAATGATCAAAGCACCGACCATAAATTGTATCACATAAAATTGCAGGTAAATTTTCATACAATCACATCAACATTGATTAATTTATTCAACAATTAATTAATTCAACCAAAACAGTAACAATCAAAACAAAGTTCAATTAATTAATTGTAACATATATGAATTTAATCAATCGAAAATATTTTCGATCCTTGGCCAAAGTGATTCTGATTAAACATCTACCCATTAAATATATATCTCAATAATTCAACATGGAAAGGCTCTGATACCAATTGTTAGAATTTATGAGGAATTTAACCCTAAGCCCAGGATCTACCGTGTTGTCATAATTGAGATAAAAATACAGCAAAATAAATCTAACCTTATTCCATTAGCATGGTCGAATTCAAATCTGCAAACAATGGAGGGTTTTGTGTTCTTCAAGCCTATGGCGCAACGCCTCCTGAGAAAACCGCTAGGGTTTCTGCCGTTACTTCCACGATGAGATATGGAACGTAATGGATATTGCGTCTAAACCTGGGATCACAACCTTATTATATCCCTTATTATTAATTGGCCTCATCACCCAATTAATGATTTATCGAGTTTCTGCACATTCGAGGCCCGCATTTACTAAACACATTTAAGCCCAATAAATTAATAGATCACTTAATATAGACTTAATTTGACTGATAACCCAAATAGTTACATTTAACCGACAATTAGATTTTTAATCCAACATTTTTTGCCTTAATTAACTCATAATGCCCGATGAAAGGTCTTGAGGAAGGTTGGTGTGGACAGGGGTTTAAAAATAGTGAATTTGGGTTTGGATTAGATTTGAATTTTAAAATGAATTCAAATTTTTATATTCTTTTAGGTGTATATATTTGGTTTGAGTTTAAAGAGTTTTTATATGTATTAATTTGATATATAATTAATATAATGATATAATTGTGTATTAATTAAATTTATGAAATTAATAATGGTATAGTTTAAATACTAAATTATATTAATCATATATTTATATTTTATATATCTATATTTATTTTTATCATATAAAATTCTATAAATAATTGTATATATTTTATTCAATTGTAGTTATTAAAATATCAAAACAGTTAATTTGTTTTAATTTTGCATAGCCATGCAAACATTCTATTTTTAAAAATTAAAAAGAAACAATATTAAAAACTACAAATAAAACATGTCAAAAGCTGAAGCACAGTGACTTACCCCACCCAATACTTAGGGTTTGTTTACATAGTTTTTGGAGGGTTTTGGAAATTTGAAAAAAATAAAAAGTTAGTATTTGATTTATTATTTGGTTAGAGAAAAAAATATATTTGATGTGATATTTTTTAAAAATAAATAGTAGTATATTTTTTTATATATTGTCATTTGGGACTCGCATATATATATGTCTATATGAAAATGTATTGTGTAAATAAAAATTTATCGGCAAGAATTTGATTTCACGGTCAAGTCAGAGTAAAATAGTGCCGGAACAGCGATAATTGAAAGACACCCTATACATACCAAAATTTCTGCAGTGTGTAAATTGTAACAGTAAGGGGTGTGTTTGTTTGGAGGATTTTCCAAAAAAAATAAATTAAATCAAATACTTATTTTTTATTTTTATATTATATTAAAAATTAATTTTACATTCAAAACATAATATCAACATTTATTTATATCACATCATACAACTATTTAAATTCAAAATTTTTACTATTCAAATCCCAACTCAAAATCCAAATTCTTAGACAAACACATTAAGTGTTCTATTGCAACAATTCCTCCAAAATACTACCTAAATAATCCTGTGTCCCCAATTAAGTAATGGGGTTTAGTAAATTAATGACAGTAATTATAATATTATTTTATTATTTTTTTTAGATAGATTGTATTATTGATTTTTTTAATAAGAATCCATATACGTAGTTAAACAATTTATAAAATATGTGTTTAAATATTTTAAATATTATATCGCAATAAAATATATGCAATATAAATAATATTTTATAAAAAAATAAAATTTAATATAATACAAATAAATAATAAATAATTTTTTTTAAAATTAAAGTAAACTAATTTTTTTTAAAAAAAGAATAAAAGTTTTAAATATAAATTAAAATATTTATTTATTAAACAAATAAAAATAAAAGAATTATAATAAGGGTGTGTTTCTTTAGGGATGTTTGGGGAAATTTGAATTTGGGTTTAGTTTTTATTTAAATTTTGGAATAATTTTGAATTTTGTTATTTCTTTTGTATTTGAGTTTGGTTGGGATTTGAGGAGTTTTGATGTGTATTGATTTGATGAATAATGAATAAAATAATATAAATGTGTATTAAATTTAATTGATAAAATTTATATTTTATGATTTGATTATAAATTTATATTATATTAACATATATATATTTAAATTTTTATTTATTTTGTATTATAAAATTTTTTATTGTTTACAAAATGACATATATTATATATATATATATATATATTTCCCCTATAATTATAATAAATATTAAATTATATTTTAATTTTTTTTAATAACAATCAATAAATAAATAATATATGCAGCTCGTCGGCCAAACCGTGGACAACCCCACTGTTTGTACAATAAAAATCTCAAATTTGAGATTGAAAAAACCGACCCTAAGATTTTATACTTAATGAAGTTAGGAATTCAATTACATTTATTTGTATTATTAATTAAATATATTTAAATTGATAAATTTACTAAATATACAGACGAGTCATTTGCCCGGGTTAATTATGACACAATATTCGGAGGCTTAAAAGACTAAAAAATAATAGTACTTTAATATAAAATTTGGTAGATAAAAAGTAAAATATTATATTATAAAAAATTTATTAAAGAGTTAAACTTATTTGTTTGATATTTTTTAAAGAAATTTTTTATGAGATAGAAAAAACTGTGTCCATAATATAAAAAAATATTATTAAATATTTACTTTTGTAAGAATATAAAATATTTATTAAAAATTATGTTGAAAAAGAAAAATAAGAAGTTACTGATCAAACAAACCCAAAGTAACTTGATAAAAAAAAATAGTAACAAATTGATTATCAATTAATTAAAATAATAGTATGAAAATTGTGAATGAATAAAATTATTGATAGGATTATTGCATAAATATATAAAATATTTAATACTATGGTATTTTTTTTATTATTATTCCTTATTCCTCATAAAAAATTTAAAATTATAAATACTAAAAGATATAATCGAAAACAAAATTTGAATATAGTTCTTTTATAATTTTTAAATAAAATAAATTTTAGTTTTAATAAATATTTATAGATTTTTCTTATAACATTGTATCAAAATAATATTTAAAAAAATTAATTAAAGATATATTTTTTTTACATCAATAACTGGAAAATTGGAAAAAATATCGCACACGTATATCTCATTATCACTTTTGTCCTGTATTTATCTCTCTGGCAAAATATATCCCACATGTTTTCAAAATTCGCTATTTCTATTCTTTGACCGCGCGTGGCCGCGCGTGATTGCGCGTGATGTGAATTTCACACGCGAGAAAAGGATATAAATAACAACTTTTGTAAACACGTGGGATATATTTTGCCAGAGAGATAAATACATGACAAAAATGATAATAGGGTATAAATATGAGATATTTTTTTTTGCAATTTACTCCATCAATAACAGATTTCTACTGTTTGACATTTTGTATTTTTTTAAAATAAAAATAATATTTTTTTATTTCACAAAATATTATATTATATATTATTTTAATATTAAATTTAAATCAAATTTTTTTTAAACCTATCAAAAGAAACATATCCTAAAATATTATTCTTCAAAAAATTTTAAACCAAAATCATTATATTTACGGACAATTGGGCAAAAATCCCTCTGTCCATTTATCATTTGGGATTCAGTCCCTAATGATAAAAACTTGCTCTGCACTCCCCCTTTTTCCTTCTTCCTTCTTCTTCCTCCCTAATCGTATTTCTCTTCATTCTGTTTCTCTTCGCGCAAAAAATTCTTGTGAAGCCGTTGTCCTCTTCCGTGAGCTCGAAAGCCACATCCCGCACAGGTAAGGTTCTTAATTGTTCGCCCGATTTTACATCGCCGCTTCTTGTCTGGTTCGATTGAAAAATTTCCTAGGGCACTCTCCGAATCCTGTTCCGGTTCCCTGTCGTCGGCGGTCGGTTGATTCGGTCGAAGAACTACCGAAGGCTGTCACCGGTTCCGTGGCCCGTATTTCTTGGTCTCCGGTGAAATTAGATGTACCAAGTGTGTTTTTGTGTCGGTTGATTCGGTCGAAGAACTACCGAAGGCTGTCACCGGTTCCCTGGCCCGTCTTTCTTGTTCTCCGGCGAAATTAGATGTACCAGGTGTGTTTTTGTATCGATATCTTAGTTGGAAAATTATTATCTGGAAGAAAATGTTTGGGTATTATTTTGGGTGATTTTGATAATAAATTTTGTTGCTATTTAGGGTTTAAGGGTAATATTTATTTTGTGAAATGGGTAATTTGTTGCTATTGAGGATCAAGACATTACTAGAATTCCGTAAGAACATATGATTTTAGTGTATTTTGTGTAAGATTATCTAATCGCCCATACGACCTAATATAGTTCATACGTTCATCGGTTGGATCGCTAGGTTCCGATGGACATGGAGCAAAGTAGTCTGAAATTATTAATTATATGTTCCTACGAAGGTGAGCATCATGTAATTCGTTTAGAAGAGGGCACCACGCTGGAGGATCTTTACCGGAATATATCGAAAAGATGGAATAAAGTGAGTATTGAGGCGGTAAAACTCCAATATATTGCACCTATTCAGAAAAGCTACGTGACGTTATTGTGTGACGATGATGTCGCCAATATGTGGAGAATGCATATCTTGTTAAAGGTAATGTTTGTGGATATGATTGCACGGTGCAGAAGCGAGCACCAGAGCGTGCCTCTCCGAAGCACGGTTGGACGCAGGTACGTTACTCATCATTTGTAATTAAGTAGTCTTTATTAAACTTTGTTATAGAATGCAGTCACAATTGTTCCTTATGAAAGAATGCAGTCTGTAAGCACTTATAATGCAGTATGTAAGAATGCAGTCTGTAAGCGCTTATAATGTCATGTTCAACACATCTAAAAACATATTGTTTATAGGTTACGTTAGTAATAATTCTTTTATGATATTGGCATACAACAATACCGTGGTATATTGTTGCGATGTTGTTTGTAGGTAGTAAGTATCCACCTCCGCGATTTTGTAGTAGCGCAGTGCAGAACGAACCACTGAAGAGATTGTAAAGATATGTAGTGGGGATATAACGTCTTGAAGGTATTTAACGATTTTCACTCCTTCTTCACACGCCACTGTCAATATCCTCTAGCAATCCGGTTTAGGTAGGTGTACCATGATCGATGCGTTGAAATTTTTGTAGCCCATGGCATTTACTGCATCACGTAGCCTGCTGCGGTGAATAGATGCAGTTGTTCTTTTAAATACCCTGGATGACACGGTAGGTAACCATAGACACCGTGGACATACTCGGTTGAGTAAGATGGGTACCCATGTTTTTCCATTTACTCTGAAAATATCTATTACCATATAAAATTAGAACTACTTACATCTGATATAATTTTCATTCTTATTATTGTATTTGTAATGTAGGGGTGAGGCCGAATGTTCTGGATTGAACGAAGATTGCGCCGATGGTATCTTTATTCCCGACGAAAGTACTAGTCTAATTGCAATGCGAGATGCATTGTCGGGGAAGGGCAGACATTCAAGGGACCGCAGGAGTTTAGAAAGTTACTGAAGAATTATTCTATTGCCACTCAGAAACACTTCAGGTACCAAAAGAATGATTCAAGCAAAATTATTGCGGTGTGCATCGACAAAGGCTGTGGTTGGCGTATTTATGCATCCTTCCATGCTCGTGATGCATCATTCAGCATTCGTAAGTGCAATTTACATCACACATGTACTATGAGTCTATTGCAATCAAGAGATCATCCAGCAGCCGATGCGAACTGGATTTCTGAGGTCTACAAAGATAAGATACGTTCTATGCCAGCGTATAAGGCATCCGACATCCGGGAGCATATCCAAACAGATTATGGGATTGACGTGAAATATCATAAAGCATGGCGTGGCAAAGAGAATGCGATAAGGGCAATTAATGGTGGAGGTAGAGACAGTTTCTCACAACTTCCGTTGTACTGTCATGCACTTCGGGAGTCAAATCCGGGAAGTATTATAGACTGCGAAGTTGAGCAGGCAACCAAACGTTTCCAACGCCTTTTTGTTTGTTTAGGTGCATGCCGGCTGGGTTTTTTGAGGGGTTGCAGGCCCCTACTCTTTCTTGATGGGACACATATAAAAAACAAACACAAAGGGTGTCTGCTAAGTGCAATTGCAGTGGATGAGGATGATGGGATGTTTACTTTAGCATTTTCTGGTACGTAATTTGATATTAGCTACAGTTGTCATTTTGTTAGAATGCTGGGTATAGCTGTTCGTGTATGCTGTTTTCCATGCTCTCTTTAGGCACGTATGTACCCTTATACGTTGGAAACCTTTGTAGTTATTTGTGTTCTTATTTGTTGACTTGCAGCTGTGTCTACGGAAAATGATGAAAATTGGGAGTGGTTTTGCTGGAAGCTGCGATCTGTTTTAGAATGTGAGGGACGTACGGATTGGAAACAGTACACATTCTTCTCGGATCGGCACTCGGGTTTACTAAAGTCAATCTCATGCGTCTTTCCCGGAGCACATCATGCGTACTGTCTCCGACACTTAGTGGACAACTTCCGTACCCAGGTATATGTACGTCAATATTAATCTGTAATGAACATCACTGGTTATGATCAACCATAAAATGTCTTTTTTTTAGGTTATGCGGAGATACCCAATGCATAATAAGAAACGATGGACCGCTGTCTTCAATAAGGCCGCCTATGCTCCGTTGAGGAGAGATTTCGAAAACCACATTAGTTCTGTGGTCGAATCAATGCCATTGGCCAGGGACTTCATTACCCAATCACACCCAGAATGTTGGGCAAATTCACTATTCAGAGGCACTCGTTGGGGAATAATAAATAATAACATTGCTGAGTCATGGAATAGTTGGGTGAGATCCGCGAGGTCAATGCCATTCGTTGGGATGTTGGATACCATTAGAAGGCAAGTGATGGTAATGATGAATGAACGCCGCGAAAAGTCGGAGATAATGCACGGAAGGCTCTGTCCAAAACAGAAGAGCAAGTTGGCACTATCGTACATGGCGTCTCGACGGCTACAGTGCAGTTCATCCTCTAGAACTGTATTCGAGGTAACAGATTGTAATGAAAGATACGCAGTCGATTTGGAGGCGCGCAAATGCTCTTGTCGAGAATGGCAAATGTTCCGATTGCCCTGCAAGCATGCCTGCGCTTGCATTGAAAAATGCAGTATGTCAATTTATGATTTTTGCGATCTTTACTATAGCATTGAATCTTACAGAAAAACGTACCAGGAGCCAATAAATCCCGTACCGACGCATGATATGGACGTGATTGTTGAAATTCAGGCGGACCAAATTCACCCTCCTCCGTCGTCTGTCCAACCAGGCCGGCCAAATAAGCGAAGGTTCGAGTCCCAGCAGGTAAAGAATGCACGGAAATGTGGTCGTTGTGGGCGTCTTGGACATAATAGAAGAAGTTGCAAGCAACAAATAGTTTAGCGAACCTTTTTTTCATTGTACATCTTTTTGGCTTCCAGGAGTATATATTAAGACAGTAGGTACATATTCAATAGCTATATTGTAATTGTTTTTTGTGTCTCTAGGATGTAACCGGTTGGATCCATCGACTTATTTGCAGTAGTAAGTGGTATGTAGCCCTCTCACGCAGGTATATGATGAAGTTGTGAAGGTTCATAGTTATATTCTGCAGGTATATTTTTCATGTACTGAGGCATTTGATGATGTAGCTCTGTAGGGACGGATGGTTAATGTAATCTCTAATTGTTTTGAAAGTACATGCTATCCTATTTTTGGGTTATTACTAGGAGGTATAGTTGTTGTATTAAACTCGTCATACTAACCAAGTGCATGTGTCATCAACTTAAGTATTTGTTGATGCCTTCTTTAACCATCAGCAGTAAATACATGCTATTTGAAGAAAAAAAAAAAAAAAGACCGTTTCCCCAGCCACAGGTAACCAGGGCATACATAATTGCAACTGAAGTATAATGTCACGGTTGTTGTAAGTACGCAATAGCTTACAGAGGGTATATGAATAATGATTCCAACATATAGGGTTGCGGTCCGAGTACAAACCATATTTTATTTTGTTTATACAGTATTCTAATTGTATTACCGTGTAATAATTTGGAGGCGTAGCATTGATTAAAATTCAGCACACAGCTACGTACCAGACTTCCATATGCCACACAACTATATTGCGGTTATATTATCGTGTCTATTCTATTGTGTTCTAATTCAATTAACGGGTAAGCGATGTAAGTATAATCTGTGGCCTAAAACACGCCATTCAAGATTATGGGGTTGACGAGCAACACTACCATGGTTAAGCCAATACACTCTTACCATCAGTTCATGAATATTTTAAGAGAAAAGGCCGAGTCCCCACCCGTAGGGTACCAGAGCATTTGAAATGGTAACGGAAGTATAAAGGCTATTTCCGTAGGTACATAATAGATACTATAGGGTATTTGTAATAATGACTCCGTTACTTATGCATCTGAGCTAAGTACCAGACTCGCTGAACGAGGTACACAGATTGCGTATGCGGGCATCTGTGTTGTAGTTGTAGGTATAGTAGCACTTCTCTGTAACCACGTGTTGCTTAGCATTCCACAGGAAATAGTTGATTGTAATCTAGACGTTGACCCACACGCAATTACCAGACACCTATGTCCCGCACAAATATTTTGTTGTAATATGATCATGTTTTTTTAGTATTGTTTGTTTTAAATTAACGAGTAAGCCCTTGCAGTATCTCCGGTCGATTAAAACATGACGTCCAGTAGGGTTTTATGAGAAACGCCGACACGGTTGAACTGATTCAAAGTGAACGCTATTTCAGTGATCAGTGCAAAAGAAATGACCAGTCCCACAAACGCAAATGACTGGAGCATGTAATATATAAATGGAAGTACATACTAGTTTTCCGTAGGCACATAAAAGCTATCAACGGGTATCACCACACAACGCAGGTATATAATGAAGATGACAAATCAATCCACATAAAAGACATTTACCAATTCCATCACCTCGATACACAATGCAATAACTTCCCAGATCAATCCAAATTGAAGACATTAAACAAATCCATCACCTCCACACAACACAATAACTTCCCAGATTAATCCAAACTGAAGACATTCAACAAATCCATCACCTCGCCACACAACGCAAAAACTTCCCAAATCAATCCAAATTCATTACATGTGTTAACCTGCCCTATTTTTCCATCGGGGTCTACGTTTCAGAAGGGGGGACCTTTCAATATCCTCGCCGCAATCGTGCCTCGGTAGCTCTTGACATCGCCGAAGTCCTCGCCGAGGACACCAACGAGATTGACATCTGGACCTGCCCACGCATAACACTCTGCGAACATGCAGACTAAAGGTCCACAGTCCAACGTTTCACCCTGGTGTCGGCATCTAATGTACTCGGGCATGTCGCTGACCATAGGCCATAGTCGTGACGCGTTCATATACAACGATAAAAATCGCGTCTGCACAAATAACGTTACTCTTTCGTTAAGGAATTCACCCTACCCATAGGCAATTAATTATGATCATTCGAAAGACGTACCAATTTCTTTGTATTCCCCTGGCCGAAGGGGTCGCGCATTGAGTTACACTCCAACACAACACGTTTGACGGTATCCAGTATGCAGAGATGCCAGTGGAACCGGGTGTGTACGGGTAGAAATATGTACCGGCACCCAGACCGGATTTTGTCCATGATTCCGGCAAACTCTTGGCCTACGGTCACTTGCAGCGAGTTGGCAAACGCGAGTACATTACCCTTATTGATGCTCGGCTTTTTCGCTCCCCTGCTTGGTCGTGATAGCGCGTCGTTCACGGCTTTCTGAAAATCGAACACAGCAACCAACGCAATAATAACAATGTGATTTGTAATACTAACCGTATAAATTCCAAACAGGATACTCACCGCTACGAACCATGGCACACAACCACACCGCACCTGCGGATTGTGTTGGAGCTGATATTCATTGCTGCATAGATGATATAGGTACGCGTCGATGACTTCGCCTTTCACAGCTTCGTCAAACAGTAGTTCTAAAATGGCATCGGACGAGACAGACACGACGCCTTGCTGCCATACAGTGTCCCTACAACATGATAGTCGCAAACGGATAAAAACATCGATTGAGAAAAATATATAAAGCCTTAATAGTGAATAGCAATACCAGACAGCGAATGACGCGAGAAAATGTTCAATGGTGTTCGTCTCATCCTCAGATAAGGAACCCTTTCCACAGTAGCTGTCATTATTGCGATATCCCTCCCACTTTTGTGCTCCAGGGTCTGCTACAACCTTAGCATCCGAGTCCCCATCGTCGCCGACGACAAATGGTTCCTGAACCAACAATGAAGATAATCATGTTTCCGTAGGTATCTGTATTTATTGTATAGGTATTGACGCAGAAACACTAGGTATTTAAGAATCTATCTGAAGTATTTTGAGCCAGACGACTTATATTTGTATGGAACTACGTACCTGCTCATTATTGACGTCGACCGCTGACTTTCCTTTCGCCCTCCGTGTTTTTCTCGCTTTCTCAATTCGCGGTGTCGACACAGGTGTCACGAATTCAGGCTTCTTCTTTCTCTTCCTATCCTTACGTGCCATTACACCACGTACAATCGATGAATCTGCGGCCCTGCTACAAGTCTCACGGTCGGAGTCATCGCCCTGCTACAATTTCAACAAAGCAAATAATCATTCAACAGATAGACAACTACGACCTACAAATTGTACTTACTATATTTAATTAGCTTACCTTGACATCTATCGGTGCAACATAAGGAACAATGGCCATCAATTGGTTAAACTCTAGCAGGCTACCAACCCCTTCGTCATCTGACTCGTTTATCGGATCAACTTCGGCCAAAAGGATGTCCATTTTTTTTTTGCTTCGGCGCTCGGTATTCGCTTGCTCTTCCGCTGCTTCCTCGGGATCCTCCTCAATCTGACTCTCCTCCTCCCCAGTTTTTTTCTCCCTCTCCTCCTCCTCCTCCTCTTCACCCTGACTCTCCTCCTCCTGACCCTGCTTCTCCTCCATGTCGGCCTGCTTCTCTTTCCTCTCAGACTCCACAGCCATCCGGTCTGCTGTCTCTTCATCCCCATAGTTTGCATCACCCTCCTCGCCATCGCTCTCGTCCTCACCCTCACCTTCACTGTCGTCATCGACAACACCGGCTCTAGATCTTTGTAATTTATGAGCAAGTCTGGCAATTGCAGTGTCTTTCTTCCGCAGCTCCACCTTCAATGCCGCAATTTGTTGCGCTGCTTCCTGCAACATATGTTAATAATGTCATATAAGAAATTATTTTATCCATTTACAACGGTAGCAACATTGAATAATGCATTTACCTCTGAAGCATGGCAAATTGCACGAACGAACTTTTCTTCCGTGCCTATCCGATAGAATTCCTGAACATCTGACCGCTATAGGGATGTCAATTCACCAACTGCATGAACCCTGGACATTGGACCGAGGCTATTCAGCCACCGAAAGAGACGCGGTACCTTCGGAAGGCACCGTGCCTTGTCCAGAGTTGGGACCCTCTCATTGAACCAAGCCTGCACATATTGTAATAGACATTATTGCCAACAATAATACATATTGTGCAATATACCAAAATAAGTAGAAAAAATTAACAAATCCGATATTACATTGCTTACCAGCAAACCCGCGGTGCAGCCTGTCAAATATTTTTTCCCGGACTTGAAGTCGCTTATAGACTTCAACAGATAACGGTGACTTGCGGGTCCCCACGCGTAGTCACCAATCGCACTCAGGTCTTCCACATACGGTAACAAAAAAAAGGGTACAGAATAATTCGCAGAACAAAATAAAATATTTGCAAAAACAAGCAAAATAAAAAGACGAGCAACATCCGCAACAGAAAGAGGCTCCAGCCCCTGCAACAGAGCCTCACGCAGCTTCTGCAACACCTGCCCGCGGGTTACAGAACGTGGCTTGCTCCCAAAAATTCGAACAAACCATTCGCTTTCGACCGATGTGTTTTCGGTCACGTAGACTCCTTTCGCATGTAGTCCTAAGACTACAGAATATTCTTCAACTTCAAACGGAAGCTCAATGTCACTTCCAATCTTGAAGGACATAGATTCCGAACTGAAGCTATTGACGAGGGCAACAAGTCGGTGCCATGGAAACTTCATTTTCGGGCAATCCAGAAAATGCCCGAATGGTGTCATTTTTATAGCTGTGAGGTGTTCGTCTGTCATGTGTTGCTTCAGTTTGCCCAACTCATTATGAAAAAATGGTAATGCAAATCGGCTGATCACCGATTTGTGCTCTTTCCCTGGCCTGTAAGTAAATCTCTAATTTAGTTAAAAGTTTTTCACAATTTAGCAGGAGTAAAAACGCATTCCGAGTATACAATAGTGCCGTTCAGGTATATTAATTGGCAAATTAGACCAAACAAATGAAACTCCTGGTGCCTAATAATACCGCATTTATCAACCCACAAATATGACTAATTACCGAACAATCCACCAAAAAACCTAAAATATGCAACTTCGACTAACTAAACAAAATATACATCTCCAAAATTAACCAAATCAAAGATAAAACAGATAAATTCACCCAAAATCGGCCGAACCGGGTTTCCTGGCCAAAAATTCGAACAATTTCAAACCACCCGTTGAACAAACACAACACCGAACACCCAGGGCTCCTCATCACTGAACCGAGGCATACAAACACGGGACCAAGGCTTCTACCCCAAACAATCGAATAAACTACGATATAAAATTCGATTGTCAACAAAATCATAAAACGAAAAGGGTTTCGACCAGACACTTACTTTTTTGAACTCCTCGTGGGGGATCGCGGCGGATTCGCGGTTTTTCGCACCATTTCGCTGAACAAAATGTCTTACTGCTGATCGTCGAGTTCGCGAGGAACGATTTCCTTCTCGAAGAACTAGGGCTTGAACGGAGAGTGAGGGGAGTTAAGGGAATGTTTCAGTTTTTAAATCGTGCATATTTTCTGTGATTTTTTTTTAAAAAAAAAATTCACAAAATAAGGTACGCAGTATTTAAATGGAATTATCTAATCGTATACTGGGGGTAGAGCGGGAGGTAATGTATGTATATATTATAAAATTGGAAGTATTTATTAATCAATCGTAAGTACATGTTGCATATACAATTGTGATTGAGTAGAAAATACAAGAAGGAAGTTATAACATATCTAATCAATAAAGTAGGGATTACAGATCAATTAATTTACAATGGGACTGAATTGCAAGCAAAATACACTGACAGGGATTTTAGTCCAAGTCTCCCTAAAACAAAATCGAAACAAATTAAAGAAATCCAACTCAGCATCGACGGCAACCGAAATGACAGGGAATCATTTTCTGTGCTGTGTTGAACTGTAGAACCCACAAAACGACGTCGTTTGGTTTAGTTTTCTTGCAAAATTCCCCGCCTCCGTCACCGGCTGTTCCGGTACCTTATATCCCCGCCCCCAAAAATCCGGGCTATAAATACAGATCCACTGTTTATATCTTCGCTCTTCGCATTTCTGAAGCGGAGCACTCGAAGCTGTCTCAGAGTTTTATCGATTTTTTCTCAATTCACTTGCTAGCGATACTTCACTTCTGTAAGTGCTCTTCGATGCTGCTCTATGTTTTGATTGATGCTGTTTACACCTGTGGATGTAGCAATTTAATTGCTTGGTGGTGCAATTTTATTTAATTTTTTTTTGTTTTCTAGAACTGTTGTCGAATTCTTGGTTTTTTAATCGGATCTTTGGTAGCTGAATATCTGATTTCTTGTATGATAATTTCGTTTGTTTTCTGTATCACCATCTGTTTTTGGGTGGATTTTACCGCGTGATTTGCATTTGAGTAATTTTGAATTGTTTTGGCTGTCGAACAGTTGTCGTATTTTGGTGAAGGGTTAGGTTTTTGCGGAGAGTGAGTCTCATCGTTTGTTTTTTGGTCAAAGGCTCGTGGTATGGGTATATCTCTCAATCCAATGAAACGATCGAAAGTGAAACCAAATAGCATAAACATGATCGGATTTTAGGGATTACACATTGAGTTGCATTAGTGAATAGATTTGTTAATTTACAAGAAAGAAGGTAAAAGCACTACCAATTAACGATAAACTGTGTTTAGCATTAGGATTTTTGTACCCTTTGTTACAGATTATACTGCTCAATTGAAATGTACACCCCATTTCTAGAAGTTTCTGACCTCTTTGGTATATGACACACATATAACATTTTTACCCAAGAGTAAACATTCTTGTTTCATTTATTGGGAGAAGAAAGCTTGCCTTTTTTCTGATTTCTGTAAATCTGTTTTTAGATGTGTACTGTGGAGGGCATTTAAGCCATCATATGAACAAAAAGATCTTAGGAGGCTCAAGTAATACTGGTTAAGTTCCATACTTTCAGCAACTGTGAGAAACACCAAATGTCGTATATGAGATTTTTTGTTTTTTTGTTGTTTTTCATGTTTATCTCCTTGTTAACTTTCATAGGTCTTGTGAGACGTAATTATTCTATGCATGGTAGATTTTGTACTTAAATGCATTGGCAGGCTTTTCGAGGTTTCGCGTTAGTTGAACTTCTCCACTCCAAATAATAGAGCGATGATAATTATGAGTTATTTAATCTGTTTGTTCTAGGTTGGAGCGAATCTTAGTCGTTAACATTCAATTTCTTTCCATATATGGATTATACCTGTGTAAATCCGTTCGTATACGGATCCCTCCACATGGCACACGTCTCTACGTGCTGATCCTTTTAAGCGGTGATCTAGCATTTAACGCAGATGTAAATATAATTGGATGGAAATTTTGTCGTGAAGTAGAAAAAGACAGTTTGAGTAACCAAATAATCATGTGTATGTAATTCAACTTGTTGAGGATATCTATAAAAATCTCTACTTTGAACAAAATTATTTGTTTGTTGACTCCACTCTGCAGCACTTGAGCCTAGATCATGCATTTAACACTTTGAATCCTCAATACATGTTCGTAATTTGGATAAAAGAGTTCTATATTCCTTTTGTTGTTTCATGCGTTGCTCATGAATGCAGAAGTTTCTTTGAGTTTTTATAAATGTGATTGCTCTTTCGAAGAAAATTCTAATGAGCTTTCTGTTTTTTGATAAAAGCTCAGGTCACTGAATTCCGATCAATATACAGACATTGCGGAACTATGGGGGAGATTAGGGATACCCAGGTATCAAGTAATCCAGGTTTCAAAAGGTCATCGAGAAGGAAAACAGGCTTAAAAAATTACGACGAGAATCTGATGGATGAGTTGATAGAGAAACAATTGGGTGGTTCATTGAGGAAGAAAAATAGGACGCAGGAAGAATTAGAGAAAGAAACTGAGATAGAAGCCATGATAGCATTGTCATTGGGGTTTCCAATTGATGAATTACTCGAGGAAGAAATTAAAGCCGGCGTCGTTAGAGAAATGGGCGGGAAAGAGCAGAATGATTATATAGTTGTAAGGAACCATATCCTCGCAAGATGGAGGGATAATGTTCAGTCATGGTTGTCCAAAGGACAGATAAGGGAAACTGTAAGTAATGAATATGCTCACTTGATAAATGCAGCTTACGACTTTCTTTTGAACAACGGATATATAAATTTCGGGGTTTCTCCGTCCTTTGAGTCTGAAATTTTTGAGGAAAATAATGATACTTCTGTACTAATAGTAGGTGCGGGTCTGTCCGGGTTGGCGGCAGCTAGGCAGCTTAGGTCCTTTGGTTTCAAAGTGTTTGTTCTTGAAGGTCGAAATCGCCCTGGAGGAAGAGTTTATACTCAAAAGATGGGCGAGACGGGCAAGTTTGCTGCTGTTGATCTTGGTGGTAGTGTAATAACCGGTATTGATGCCAACCCTCTAGGAGTTTTAGCTCGACAACTCTCCATTCCTCTTCACAAGGTTAGAGATAAATGTCCTCTGTACAGGGCTGATGGGAGTCCTGTTGATGAAGAAATCGATTCTCGTGTGGAAACGATTTTCAACAAGCTGCTCGACAAAGTTACCCAGCTTCGACAACTAATGGGTGGATTTGCAGCTAGTATTTCCTTAGGTTCAGTTCTCGAAACTCTTAGACAGTTATACGCCGTTGCTAGAAGCCAGGAGGAAAGGCAACTTCTCGACTGGCACTTTGCTAACTTGGAATTTTCGAATGCCGGGAGCCTCTCTAACCTTTCGGCTGCTTATTGGGATCAGGATGATCCTTATGAGATGGGTGGAGATCACTGTTTTCTTGCTGGTGGAAATTGGAGATTGATTAGAGCTTTATGCCAAGGAATCCCGATATTCTATGGGAAAACTGTTCAGACGATTCGGTATGGAGCTGAAGGCGTTGAGGTCGTCGCCGGAGACCAAGTTTTTCAGGCAGATATGGTCCTTTGTACAGTTCCCCTTGGAGTCCTTAAACAGAGAAGTATACAGTTTGAACCGGAATTACCCGAAAGGAAGCTAGCAGCGATAGGCCGGCTCGGTTTTGGCCTGCTCAATAAGGTCGCCATGGTGTTCCCGTACAATTTCTGGGGCGAAGAGTTGGATACATTCGGTTCTGTGAGAGAATCGACTCACCGTAGGGGCGAATATTTTCTGTTCTACAGCTACCACACTGTTTCAGGTGCTCCCGTTCTTATTGCATTGGTTGCTGGAGAGGCCGCACAGCTTTTCGAAAACACCGAACCGACTGCTTCCGTTCGTCAAGTTTTGGGAATTCTTCGCGGTACATTTTCGATGCGTTTTCTATATTTTGATTCGTGTTTATCTTCTCGATTCATTGTGCTGTATTACATTTGCTGCAGGTATATATGGCTGGAAAGGGATCGAAGTCCCCGACCCAATACAATCGATATGCACAAGATGGGGAGCCGATCCTCTTTCCTGCGGATCATACTCGCATATCCAAGTCGGGTCATCTGGCGTCGACTACGACATCCTCGCTGAAAATGTGGGAGGCCGTTTATTCTTCGGCGGCGAGGCTACGACCCGGCAATACCCTGCGACCATGCACGGCGCCTACGTAAGTGGCCTTCGAGAAGCTTCCCGAATCCTCCAAGCTACACGGGCTCGACGGCAACAAAATCATATTCGAAGGTACCTACAGAAGAATCCGGCGCCAAGCATCGACGCACTGCTCACTCGTTTCAAGAAACCTGATCTCGCATTCGAAGGATTTTCCTTCGTGTTTCCCCCGTCGGAAGACCCGAAATCTTTGGGACTAATGATGGTGACTATTGGAGAGACGGCATCATGCGACGGCACCGACGAGCGCGACCAGCCTTCATCGAACCCGTCGCTGCGACTCTACGCGCAAATTTCCCGAGAACAGGCGCTGCAGCTGCAGCAGGTCACCGGCGCAGGTTCGAATAAACTCGGCTTCTTGTCGCGGAATCTTGGCCTGAAGCTGATGGGGGCTGACGCCGTCGCCGGTTTAGGTAACTCATTGAATACTCAGATATCGGGTAGCTCCGGTAGGGGTAGGGGTAGGGGCCGGCCTCGCAAACTCGCCGGGAAAGTTTGAAGTAGTTCCTATGCTCGCCGGCGAGCGAATTTTTTGTTGGTAGAAAACAATGCTACTGCAAATTTACGCGCACACGGCTGGGACCGGGCTGGGCCGTGTGCGTCGTTTGTTCTCTTTTCGATTCGTGCCTAAATTAGTGGTCGAACTATTCGAACATACGGTTAGAAATAGTTGGACCCGTGTGACATTAGAGAGAAAGATATTGTACAACTTGGTCTCAAATAGTTTTTGTTTTGTTTGCTTGTGTTTTTGGACTTTGTTTTGGTATTATTTATTTATTATTGTTTTTTAAAAAATATTATATAGAAATATATATTTTTATTCAAAATATTGCTTCTTTTTTATATTTTTCTAAAAATATTATATTAAATTATTAAGTTAATTCAAGAAAAATTAAATTTAAACTTTGTTTTTTCAATATTTTTTTTCTACACTTTTTCAAGATATATATTTTATTCTCTTATAAAAGTCAATAATCAATATAAAAATAATAGTAGTATTTTTTATATTACTAACACAATTTTTTTATATCTCACATTAAAAATAAAGGCAAAATTATCCATAATTTTTTTATGGTTAGTGTAAATCTTCTTTTACTTTAAAAATTGTACGATGCTCTTTATACTTTAAAACATATTGCATGAAATTCTTTTGTGGTTTCGAAACTTAGTGTAAATCCCACTTTATTTTAAAAATTGCATGACATTTGCTTATACTTTAAAAGATGTTGCACGAAACTCCTTTGTCATGCAAAAACTATAGATAGGAAATTATTTTCTCATCACATAAAAAAAGTTTTATGGTGGTGGAGTTTCATGAAACATTTAGTATAAAAAGGTACCATGCAATTTTTAAAATATAAAAAAATTTTACGTTAGAATTTTAAAACATACGAGAGTTATGAATAATTTTATCAAAATAAAATTTAAATCAAAATACTAAACAAACAAATCCTATCAATTAAAAATATATATATATATATATATAAAACACAGTCTATGATAAACATCCATGCGGCTTTGGTTACCGTGCTAATGCCTAAGGCCATCTCCAACGGGTATGCAATCTTGACATTGCAACCCTATAAATGGAGTTCTCAATCTTCAACCGGGCGATATTTTTGACACTAAAAATGGTGTTTGCTACGGTGTAACACCAAAAATGATGATGTGTTTTTTTTTTAATTTGTATATTAATTAATTAATTTATTTATTTATTTTTTAAATTTTGTTAAAAGAAAATATTAATTGTAGATATAAAAAGTTGTTTAAAATAATATATAATATGGAATATTTGAAAAAGAATATTAGTTTTGGAGTAAAAAATAGAACTGTGAGTTGGAGTAAAATTACTGTAACAACTGTATTTTTAGAGTTATACTCGATTAGAAATGGCCTAAGGTGTCAACATGGTGCTTATTAAATTTTCACTGTCGGATTTTATTATTAATGGTATATTGTATAGTTACTAATAAATAAGACTAATCTTGTAATATAACTATATCTTAAGAGTATATTTGGAAAAAGAAATTAGTAATATAACCATAATTATATATATATATATTATAGTATGATTATTCAATCGCAATATTCTCGTAATAAGTAATTTAATAAGTGATGTGGCACTATATATATATATATCTTACCTTGTCAAATAAATATTATGTTATAATAATTTTACACTATATATCATCATTGGCTTTTTTTTTTTTTTTTAACAATTTATCTATTTTTTTTTATTTTGATATGTTCTATAAAAAAGTATTTATTTTTTATTTTTTTTTTAGTAATTGTACTATCTACTTAACATTACAAATACTCTTCTAATTTACAATATATTATACAAATACCATTACACTTCTATCATACAATACTAATATGGTTAATTTATTCTTTTTACCTTTATTTATATTTTATCCCAATATAATACTAATATTTCTAAAACTCCGTGCAAAAAGTAAATTGATATATAAATATGGGACGGAGAGAGTATAGTTTAGAACATTTCAATTCAATTTTTATATTGTGAATATATATATATATATTTGAATTTGGATTCATAACCCCACCATAATACAGTAGAGATAATATCAGGGTGTGTTTACTTGTGAAATTTCATTTTCGATTTTACTATTCTTAATTTTTCTTTTCCTCAAAAATATCAAATCAAACACTCTTTTTGTATTTATTTTATTACATTAAAATATAATTTTACGTCCAAAACATCACATCAATACATATTTATATTATATCAAACTAACTATTTCAATTCAAAATTTTACTATTCAAAACCAAAACTCAAAATCAAAATCACACAGAGTAAACAAATCCGCAAGAACATATATCTTAGATCATGCAATTAATGTCGAGCGGGTTATGTTTAACTAACATATTGATGCACTGATGCACATGAACAAACAAATAATAATGGGTATGTTTACCAATACAATTTTTCACTTGATTTTAGTATTTTAATTTTATTTTATCTCAAAAAAAAATAGTAAAGCAAATATCTATTTTTTATTTATTATATTACATTAAAATTTAATTTTATATTTAAAATATCACATCAATACATATTAAATTGCATAAAACAATAATTTCAATTCAAAATTTTACTGTTCAAACTAAAATTAAAAACCAAAATTTTACAAGTAAAAACACTCGTGTGTTCCTTTATACTAAAGGCACAAGAATAGTGTAGTTTTAGAGGTAAAAAAAAAAAAAAAAAAAAAATTGGACAATTTTGAATAAATTCCTTGTCTATTTTCATATTTGTATTCAGTCTCTCTGTACATGTTTTAATAAATAAATAATTTGTGACTGAAAGATTATGAGAGTGTTTGACAAATAATTTTTTCAAGAATTTTTAGTTGTTTGATTAGTAAATAAATTAATTTTGATGTTTGGTAAAATAGCGTTTTCAAATAGCTCATTTGACCCAAAAAGTTAATTTTGAAATTTTCAGATTAGCTTTCTATTTTAATTTTTCTTATTTCTTATTTTCCTTTAAAATTAATTAATTCTTTCAAATATATTAATATATTTTTCATTACACTATTTATTGAATATTTGAATATATTATCTTCTAGTAACTTCCTAAAAATAATATATTTATTTAAAATTATATATTTAATTAAAATAGATACTACATCCGTCCGACTTCAAAGGTCATATTATTTTTTACGTGTTGATATTTGAATATTAATTATTATATAAAAACGTAGTACAAATTAAAGGAAAATGACAAAAAATACTTCTATTAGTGTTGTAATACTATTACGACATTTGTGCAAAAAATTATACAAATATAAAAATATTTTTAATGTTAAGTATAATAACACAAAAAATAAATAAAACCCTTATAGTCAGACAGATAAGTATTAATTAAAAATTATTCTAATAAAAATATATATACAAATAAGTTTTGTTTTTTTATATTTATACTAGTTCTAATATAAACATATATATATCTTTCAATAAAGTTACATTAAACTTTTACAAAATGTTTAAAAAATAATAAAAATAAATACTCCCTCCGTCCCACATATCATGTTCACGTTGTCGTTTTTATCCGTCTCACATACCATGTCACTTTCTTTTTTTGGAAAATAATTACACACTTTAATCTCATTTTAAACTTTTTAATTTAATTTTTTTTAAAATTTTAATTAAACTAATTAGTTATCTTAATCTTAATTTATAATTATTAATATTATAAGATAATTATTTTCACTAATACATTCTCAATTATTTACTAATTACACCCCTCCTAAAATACCGTGTTTACAGTGTAGCAGACACGGTATGTGAGACGGAGGTAATATTTTTAATAAAATTTTCCTAATTTTTAATAATTAATAATAAAAAGTTTACCCATAAAAAACATTTAACTAAACATTTTAAAAATATATATAAAATATCATTAATTATCAATTTACATATAAACAGTTAATACAAAAATACTATTTTATTAAATATTTTAATACAAACAATTAATAAATTTAGTTAATCAAATTAGATAACAGCTAATTGAATCAACGAAAGCTAAAAGTTAATAGTCAAGTAACTCCTACTTCGTTCGTCCACACATAAAATATAAAATTAATTTTGATGTGATGTTTAAAAAATAATAGTATTTTAATTATAATGGGTAGTTAAAAATGTAATGATATTTTCTCTTTTGTTTTTTTATTTAAAAATAACGATGTAATATAAAGTTGGAATATTTGTAGAAAAAAATAAAGTATTTAATTAATTAATTATTTTAAAATTATACGTTTCAAAATAAAAATAGATATACTTTCTAGCCGGTCCGGAGAACTGTGGAAGTAATAATGTTGGGGGTGACGATGACGTGACAGATCACATCGACCAATTAGTCAATGATAATTGCAATTGGGACCCACCTTTGGGCCCAGCATTGATTCTTTATCTGTTTTCTCCATTAGACACTATCAGTAATTATTCCTTTTTAGTAATTATTATTTGTCATCTCAATATTTATATTTTAGCATGCTTCTATTAATAATTTTTTATTTTAATTTAATGCATTTAATGTTTTAATAATTTAAAAATAATAGTAATGTTTTATTAATTAATAAAAATATATAAATTTAATTTTAGTTTTTCTTCTGTCTGTTTTTAAGGATTACATTTACCTTTTGCGTTATTATATTTAATATTAAATATATTTTTATATTTGTATAATTTTTTGTACAAATATTCTTCTACTAGTACTATGAAATATTAATTGAAGTATTTTTGCAATTTTTTTCTTAATTTACATTATGTTTTGATATAATAATTAATATTTAAAAATCAACACGCAAAAAGTAAATGAACTCTTAGAATCGAACAGAAATAGTATTTTGTTCTTGTAAATACAAATATATATATAATTCACTACCAGAAAATTATGCTATAGTTGCGATAAAAAAGTCACGGTTTTAATACAAATTGGTGATTTTTTACTAAACAATCACGGAAAAATATACGGAACCATTTCCGTAGAATTTTGCTGATGACTTTTTTTAAGTGGTGACATTTCTGTGACAATATGTTATAGAATAATAGAATGACATGTCCGTGACTTTATATAGCAACAGAAGCTGCAACAAAATTTCGTACATATTTTATAATTGTGACATTTTCGTGACAATAAGTTACAAAATAATATCATTACACCTTTATGACTTTATATTAACGAAAGCTGTAAAAATTCTGTGATTTTATATTTTTGA